TTTTCGAATTTCCAGAGCTTTTTCGTGAAACTCTATAGCTTTGTCGTAGTTTCCAGTTTTATCAAACACCATTCCAAGATTGTTTAAAGACGCAGCGACATCAACATGATTTGGACCTAACGATTGTTTTCGAATTTCCAGAGCTTTTTCGTGGAACTCTTTAGCTTTGTCGTAGTTTCCAGTCTTTAAAAACACCGTACCAAGATTGTTTAAAGACGCAGCGACATCAACATGAGTTTGACCTAACGATTGTTTTCGAATTTCCAGAGCTTTTTCGAGAAACTCTATAGCTTTGTTGTAGTTTCCAGTTTTATGAAACAATATTCCAAGATTGTTTAAAGACGCAGCGACATCAACATGATTTGGAACTAACGATTCTTTTTGAATTTCCAGAGCTTTTTCTAAAAACTCTATAGCTTTGTCGTAGTTTCCAGTTTGATCAAACACCATTCCAAGATTGTTTAAAGACGTAGCGACGTCAACATGATTTGGACCTAACGATTGTTTTTGAAGTTCCAGAGCTTTTTCGTGAAACTCTATAGCTTTGTCGTAGTTTCCAGTTTTATGTAACACCATACCAAGATTGTTTAATGACCCAGCCACATCAACATGATTTGGACCTAGCGATTGTTTTCGAATTTCCAGAGCTTTTTCGTGAACCTCTATAGCTTTGTCGTAGTTTCCAGTTTTATCAAACACCATTCCAAGATTGTTTAAAGACGCAGCGACATCAACATGATTTGGACCTAACGATTGTTTTTGAATTTCCAGAGCTTTTTCGTGAAACTCTATAGCTTTGTCGTAGTTTCCAGTTTTATGTAACACCATACCAAGATTGTTTAAGGACCCAGCAACATCAACATGATTTGGACCTAACGACTTTTTTGAATTTTCAGAGCTTTTTCGTGAACCTCTATAGCTTTGTCGTAGTTTCCAGTTTTATCAAACACCATTCCAAGATTGTTTAAAGACGCAGCGACATCAACATGATTTGGACCTAACGATTGTTTTTGAAGTTCCAGAGCTTTTTCGTAAAACTCTATAGCTTTGTCGTAGTTTCCAGTTTTATCAAACACCATTCCAAGATTGTTTAAAGACGCAGTGACATCAACATGATTTGGACCTAACGATTGTTTTCGAATTTCCAGAGCTTTTTCGTGAAACTCTATAGCTTTTTCGTAGTTTCCAATATAATTATACACATTACCAAGACTGTTTAAAGACCAAGCAACATCAACATGATTTGGACCTAAGGATTGTTTTTGAATTTTCAGAGCTTTTTCGTAAAACTCTATAGCTTTGTCGTAGTTTCCAGTTTTATAAAACACCATTCCAAGATTGTTTAAAGACGCAGCGACATCAACATGATTTGGACCTAACGATTGTTTTTGAAGTTCCAGAGCTTTTTCGTAAAACTCTATAGCTTTGTCGTAGTTTCCAGTTTTATCAAACACCATTCAAGATTGTTTAAAGACGCATGACATCAACATGATTTGGACCTAACGATTGTTTTCGAATTTCCAGAGCTTTTCGTGAAACTCTATAGCTTTGTCGTAGTTTCCAGTTTTATCAAACACCATTCCAAGATTGTTTAAAGACGCGACATCAACATGATTTGGACCTAACGACTGTTTTCAATTTCCAGAGCTTTTCGTGGAACTCTTTAGCTTTGTCGTAGTTTCCAGTCTTTAAAACACCATTACCAAGATTGTTTAAAGACGCAGCGACATCAACATGAGTTTGGACCTAACGATTGTTTTCGAATTTCCAGAGCTTTTTCGAGAAACTCTATAGCTTTGTTGTCGTTTCCAGTTTTATGAAACAATATTCCAAGATTGTTTAAAGACCCAGCGACATCAACATGATTTGGAACTAACGATTGTTTTGAATTTCCAGAGCTTTTCTAAAACTCTATAGCTTTGTCGTAGTTTCCAGCTTGATCAAACACCATTCCAAGATTGTTTAAAGACGTAGCGACATCAACATGATTTGGACCTAACGATTGTTTTTGAAGTTCCAGAGCTTTTTCGTAAAACTCTATAGCTTTGTCGTAGTTTCCAGTTTTATCAAACACCATTCCAAGATTGTTTAAAGACGCAGTGACATCAACATGATTTGGACCTAACGATTGTTTTCGAATTTCCAGAGCTTTTTCGTGAAACTCTATAGCTTTGTCGTAGTTTCCAGTTTTATCAAACACCATTCCAAGATTGTTTAAAGACGCAGCGACATCAACATGATTTGGACCTAACGATTGTTTTCGAATTTCCAGAGCTTTTTCGTGGAACTCTTTAGCTTTGTCGTAGTTTCCAGTCTTTAAAAACACCGTACCAAGATTGTTTAAAGACGCAGCGACATCAACATGAGTTTGACCTAACGATTGTTTTCGAATTTCCAGAGCTTTTTCGAGAAACTCTATAGCTTTGTTGTCGTTTCCAGTTTTATGAAACAATATTCCAAGATTGTTTAAAGACCCAGCGACATCAACATGATTTGGAACTAACGATTCTTTTGAATTTCCAGAGCTTTTCTAAAACTCTATAGCTTTGTCGTAGTTTCCAGTTTGATCAAACACCATTCAAGATTGTTTAAAGACGTAGCGACATCAACATGATTTGGACCTAACGATTGTTTTGAAGTTCCAGAGCTTTTCGTAAACTCTATAGCTTTGTCGTAGTTTCCAGTTTTATCAAACACCATTCCAAGATTGTTTAAAGACGCAGTGACATCAACATGATTTGGACCTAACGATTGTTTTCGAATTTCCAGAGCTTTTTCGTGAAACTCTATAGCTTTGTCGTAGTTTCCAGTTTTATCAAACACCATTCCAAGATTGTTTAAAGACGCAGCGACATCAACATGATTTGGACCTAACGACTGTTTTCGAATTTCCAGAGCTTTTTGGAACTCTTTAGCTTTGTCGTAGTTCCAGTCTTTAAAACACCATTACCAAGATTGTTTAAAGACGCAGCGACATCAACATGATTTGACCTAACGATTGTTTTAATTTCCAGAGCTTTTCGAAACTCTATAGCTTTGTTGTCGTTTCCAGTTTTATGAAACAATATTAAGATTGTTTAAAGACCCAGCGACATCAACATGATTTGGAACTAACGATTCTTTTGAATTTCCAGAGCTTTTCTAAAACTCTATAGCTTTGTCGTAGTTTCCAGTTTGATCAAACACCATTCCAAGATTGTTTAAAGACGTAGCGACGTCAACATGATTTGGACCTAACGATTGTTTTTGAAGTTCCAGAGCTTTTTCGTGAAACTCTATAGCTTTGTCGTAGTTTCCAGTTTTATGTAACACCATACCAAGATTGTTTAATGACCCAGCCACATCAACATGATTTGGACCTAACGATTGTTTTCGAATTTTCAGAATTTTTCGTGAACCTCTATAGCTTTGTCGTAGTTTCCAGTTTTATCAAACACCATTCAAGATTGTTTAAAGACGCAGCGACATCAACATGATTTGGACCTAACGATTGTTTTGAATTTCCAGAGCTTTCGTGAAACTCTATAGCTTTGTCGTAGTTTCCAGTTTATGTAACACCATACCAAGATTGTTTAGGACCCAGCAACATCAACATGATTTGGACCTAACGATTGTTTTGAATTTCAGAGCTTTTCGTGAACCTCTATAGCTTTGTCGTAGTTTCCAGTTTATCAAACACCATTCCAAGATTGTTTAAAGACGCAGCGACATCAACATGATTTGGACCTAACGATTGTTTTGAAGTTCCAGAGCTTTTCGCAAAACTCTATAGCTTTGTCGTAGTTTCCAGTTTTATCAAACACCATTCAAGATTGTTTAAAGACGCGACATCAACATGATTTGGACCTAACGATTGTTTTCGAATTTCCAGAGCTTTCGTGAAACTCTATAGCTTTGTCGTAGTTTCCAGTTTTATCAAACACCATTCCAAGATTGTTTAAAGACGCAGCGACATCAACATGATTTGGACCTAACGATTGTTTTTTCATTTCCAGACCTTTTTCGTAAAACTCTATAGCTTTTTCGTAGTTTCCAATATAATTATACACATTACCAAGACTGTTTAAAGACCAAGCAACATCAACATGATTTGGACCTAAGGATTGTTTTGAATTTCAGAGCTTTTCGTAAAACTCTATAGCTTTGTCGTAGTTTCCAGTTTATAAACACATTCCAAGATTGTTTAAAGACGCAGCGACATCAACATGATTTGGACCTAACGATTGTTTTTGAATTTCCAGAGCTTTTCGTAAAACTCTATAGCTTTGTCGTAGTTTCCAGTTTATCAAACACCATTCCAAGATTGTTTAAAGACGCAGCGACATCAACATGATTTGGACCTAACGATTGTTTTCAATTTCCAGAGCTTTTCGTGAAACTCTATAGCTTTGTCGTAGTTTCCAGTTTTATCAAACACATTTCAAGATTGTTTAAAGACGCAGCGACATCAACATGATTTGGACCTAACGATTGTTTTCAATTTCCAGAGCTTTTCAGAACTCTTTAGCTTTGTCGTAGTTTCCAGTTTTAAAACACCATACCAAGATTGTTTAAAGACGCAGCGACATCAACATGATTTGACCTAACGATTGTTTCAATTTCCAGAGCTTTTCGAGAAACTCTATAGCTTTGTCGTAGTTTCCAGTTTATGAAACAATATTCCAAGATTGTTTAAAGACCCAGCGACATCAACATGATTTGGACCTAACGATTGTTTTGAATTTCCAGAGCTTTTCGTAAAACTCTATAGCTTTGTCGTAGTTTCCAGTTTATCAAACACCATACCAAGATTGTTTAAAGACGTGCGACATCAACATGATTTGGACCTAACGATTGTTTTGAAGTTCCAGAGCTTTTTCGCAAAATTCTATAGCTTTGTCGTAGTTTCCAGTTTCATCAAACACCATTCCAAGATTGTTTAAAGACGCAGCGACATCAACATGATTTGGACCTAATGATTGTTTTTGAATTTTCAGAGCTTTTTCGTAAAATTCTATAGCTTTGTCGTAGTTTCCAGTCTTTTTAAACACCCCACCAAGATTGCCTAAAGACGCAGCGACATCAACATGATTTGGACCTAACGATTGTTTTTGAATTTCCAGAGCTTTTTCGTAACACTCTTTAGATTTGTCATAGTTTCCAGTCATAAAAAACACGGTACCAAGATTGTTTAAAGACGCAGCGACATCAACATGATTTGGACCTAACAAATGTTTTTGAATTTTCAGAGCTTTTTCGTGAACCTCTATAGCTTTGTCGTAGTTTCCAGTTTTATCAAACACCATTCCAAGATTGTTTAAAGACACAGCGATATCAACATAATTTGGATCTAACGATTGTTTTTGAATTTCCAGAGCTTTTTCATGATGATTTTTAGCTTCGCTATATTTCCCGGTGTCTCGGTATAAAAGACCGAGGATATTAAAATACCAAGCTTTGTTATAACTAGATTCTTCTGATTTAAATTTATCCAATAGTTCAAGAGAAAGGTAGTATTTTCCAAAATGTCTTAATCTGTCAACAAAATATTGGAAAACTTGTAAAGTGTTCATGTTGATTTTCGTCTTGTTGGTCTTTAATAATTGAACAATTTTTTCAAGATGTGGCATTAATTTGATTTCGTCGTCTCTCTCTTTAAACATGTAAAGTGCTTTAGATATTTGATCAACGTTAGTTTCCATTTCATGTTCTTCATTTGAATGTTCAGATTGATAAACAATAATTGCTTTGTGAACAATGTGATGTAGACTAATGTCATTATTTTCTGAATGCAAGAACAATGAGCATTCGTCTAAACAAAGACATATATCTTCCTCAGCTTGTTTGGGATCATTTTTTTGAACATAATAAACCATAATTTCTCGTGGCAAAGGATCAAATGATATCATAGAAAAAAAGCTAATAACCAGTGCCAATATCGAGGATTCTTCTGCACTTTGTTTGACAGCTAAAAGTGAAGCTTGTAACATACTTCTAGGATATACCGAGTTAAATTTAACAAAAGTGACGTCCATGTTTTCTTGTTCTTCTGAAGATATTTTCTTTAAATATTGTCTCCAAGTAAATGAGCAGTTTGCTTTGTTTACACGACTGAAATAATAACCAGCAGCAGTCAAAGCCAGCGGTTGACGATCCAGTGCGAGCGATACTTCATTTAACAATTGATCATCAGCATTTTCATGTTTGTTGTAAGAATTCAACAATTGACAACATTCTCTGTCATTCAGTCCTTTACTGATAGAAATAAGTTTACTGGACAATCCATCGTAAGGTACGGCATCTGTATTCTGAACAGTTATTATTAGTTGTCCATTTTTCCACATATGATCACCTACTTGTGGTAGTAACGAAGAAATTTCGCTCAGTTGCACAACGTTGTCAACAATAATCAACCAATTTTGCCAGAATTTCAATCGAGCAGATACTAACGATCGAAGGTTCTTGACCTTCTCTTTGGCGGAAAAATTTTCATCTTTAAATTTTTCAACCATAAACTTGTTACAATTTAAACGGTATCCAAGGTCACAGTAAGATTTTAAAAGAGATTCAACATTTTTTCCTTCGAGGGTCATTACAAACGAAGTTCTATTTTCCCAATCACACGTGATTTTTTCACAAACCTGTCTCGCCAGTTGAGATTTACCACTGCCAGGATTACCAGTGATGTAGAAATATGTTAGCTCGTTATTGCTATCATTCCTTAATTTTTCAAGATCGTTTATGATTTTATTTTGTAATTTAGTGCGTTCAACGATAAAATGATTGGGTTTTGAAGGAAGCACTTGGAACGAATTAAAACTGTTACGATGATTTTTTATTTTATTGATTTCATCGAGAGAAAATTTCAAATCTTGAAATGATTTTTCAATGATATTGACTATTCCATCAAAATCATCATCTGAGTATTCGCTTTCATACCAATGTGCGTCTTTGTTTCTTTCACCACGAAGTGCATGAACAGCATCCTTTTTTTTTTTATCAAGATGTCTGCTAATCGATTTTGAAAAAAGTATAGCATCGAATAATGTTGTGCAGTCCCATCTACTTGTGTCTCCATCTTGATATTTTAACAGTAGTTTTTTATCCAACTTCCTACCGGATTCTAAAGTGCAAAATTTTTTGCCACTATTTTTGGTATCGTCCCATTCGCCATGTGTTAATTTGTAACGAGAGTTCCATTCTTTGATGAAAAATTGAGCAAGTTCCGTTTGTACCACATTGATTATTTGCTGAATATAAAGTAGATTTCTGCTTTCTCTTGATTCCATCTAAAAAAGAATATGATGTATCAACAAGACAGTTAAAATCATCAATTTTGAAAGTTCGACCTACAAAATATATCACTCTTCGTTAAAGTCGAGAATTTACATGAATAAATCAAACTTATTTATTCGTTTATTAATTCAACTTCACCAAAAGCATGCAATTATTACAAATTGAGACATAGACAACAACTAAATGGCAGAGATAATGCTACTGCTTTTGCCAATTATAGCAGCTTTTCAACAAAACATTAAAAACAGCATGATATTCCACTGGATAGTACATGTGACTTGTTAGAAGAAAGACATTGCTGGTGCTAGATTTTTATGTCTTTGGATCGTCAATGTCAAATATCGTTTGTAATGTCGAAAATCCAAGTTAGAAATGCTGGAGATACCTCTGCACTTTACGGTATTTCTATACATCAGTTGATTGTTACGTGACACGTTAGTTCACACTTTAACTTACATACCTTAACTGACATGTGTGGCATTCAAAGTTAGACTATTTAATTTAACGTGTTTTGTAAGAAATAAAACAGCAAAGAAAAAGCGACTATCTCAAAACATCAATTTGCCTAATATGTCAGGTGAATGTTGATCAAAGGGGAATTAATAAAGAAAAAAGTGGTATGGCTTAAAAAGTGAGAAGGGAAATAGTTCCTTTAGCAAAAAGGGAGGTGGTGACTTGCTTCTAGAGATGATTTACAATACTGAAATAACCTTGTCTTGAATAGACTAATGCTACGAGTTTATTTTAGATATCCATGTAACTGGCACATGTTAGAAAATAAACCATCATAATAATTCAGTTCGCTTGACGTGAAGTAAATTTGATTACTGTTAACCAATAAAAAAATTGGGCAGGACTTGTTACGAAAAGTTTCATTTTTTTCAAGGGTAATCTAGTTGACTGTCGTAGCGAGTTGTGATACATTATATTCTTTAAACGTACGACACTTTACGTTATAAATTTCGTGAGATTTTTCGCAGATTCATACCGGCGAGGCAGGTAAATTACGAAACACAAAAGCTTTTTTCCTTCAAAGAATTCGACGTAACTTTGACTGCAAAACATGCAAAGATGCAAAACGTTAAAGGAATGTTACTGAATGATGCAGAACTAATACTAAACACCAAAAAATATGAAAAGACTCACGGTGCTCACTGATCATTTAAGGTGAAAGGTAAAAAAGGACTACAGCAAAAACAAAAATGAAAACCAGCATTCTTATAAATGAATGTATCACTCATGAAGACACTTTACACGATATGTTCTACAAAGAAATAACAATTTAATCTGTTATTTTCACTACGAAGGAAAAAAGTCAGAACATTCTGCCAAAAAAGAATTACGTGGCGTTTATCACAAATGTAAACAGAATAGATTTTATTGCATAATTGATTCTGGTGCAATTTAATATATGAAGTGTGAACGTAACAATTTATCGCACTATGAAGAGTTTAGAAAGACAACGAAGTAAATCATAAGGATGAACGTGTCATATTGTCTTATGGGAAAGAAACTTATCCTTTGAACACTGGGTTAAATAAGTTACATCAACGTAAAGGAATGGAAAATGTGCTCTATCTTCCCAAACTGAAGCGAAATTTGCTGTCTGTTCAAGCTACGAGTAAATTAGGAACAACTGTTGTGTTTAAAAAAAGTGAATACTGACAATATCTCCAAGAATTCTAAAATGTTGCTAGTTGGTGAGGTGTGTAGAACACTATATAAATTCAAAGTCATTCAAAAAGAGAAGATGTATGCTGCAAAGAAAGTGCAAATTTAATACAATGGAATCAGAGGTTTGCAACCTAAAGAATAGACAACAATTCTAAAGTTATTAAGATAAATATGACAGAAAGAATAGTCAATATAAAGGATGATGTACTGAAGCATGTGTAGATAGATTAACTACTAAAGCATGTGTAGATAGAAAAACTACTGAAGCATGTGTAGATAGAAAAACTACTGAAGCATGTGTACATAGAAAAACTACTGAAGCATGTGTAGATAGAAAAACGACTGAAGCATGTGAAGATAGAACAAATACTGAAGCACGTGTAGATTGAAAAACTGAAACATGTGTATAGATCAACTACTGAAGCATGTGTGATAGAAAAACTACTGAAACATGTGCAGATAGAAAAACTACTGAAGCATGTGTAGATAGAAAACTACTGAAGCATGTAGATAGAAAATCTACTGAAGCATGTGTAATAGAAAAACTACTGAGCATGTGTGATGAAAACGACTGAAGCATGTGTAGATAGAAAAACTACTGAAGCATGTGTAGATAGAAAAACTACTGAAGCATGTGTACATAGAAAAACTACTGAAGCATGTGTAGATAGAAAAACGACTGAAGCATGTGAAGATAGAACAAATAAAACACGTGTAGATTGAAAAACTACTGAAGCATGTGTAAATGAGATCAACTACTGAAACATGTAGATAGAAAAACTACTGAAGCATGTGCAGATAGAAAAACTACTGAAGCATGTGTAGATAGAAAAACTACTGAAGCATGTGTAGATAGAAAATCTACTGAAGCATGTGTAGATAGAAAAACTACTGAAGCATGTGTAGATAGAAAAACGACTGAAGCATGTGTAGATAGAACAAATACTGAAGCACGTGTAGATTGAAAAACTACTGAAGCATGTGTAGATAGATCAACTACTGAAGCATGTGTGATAAAAAACTACTGAAGCATGTGCAGATAGAAAACTACTGAAGCATGTGTAGATGAAAAACTACTGAAGCATGTGTAGATAGAAAAACTACTGAAGCATGTGTAAATAGAAAAACTACTGAAGCATGTGTAGATAGAAAAACTACTGAAGCATGTGTAGATAGAAAAACTACTGAAGCATGTGTAGATAGAAAAACTACTGAAGCATGTGTACATAGAAAAACTACTGAAGCATGTGTAGATAGAAAAACGACTGAAGCATGTGAAGATAGAACAAATACTGAAGCACGTGTAGATTGAAAAACTACTGAAGCATGTGTAGATAGATCAACTACTGAAGCATGTGTAGATAGAAAAACTACTGAAGCATGTGCAGATAGAAAAACTACTGAAGCATGTGTAGATAGAAAAACTACTGAAGCATGTGTAGATAGAAAATCTACTGAAGCATGTGATGAAAAACTACTGAAGCATGTGTAGATGAAAAACGACTGAAGCATGTGTAGATAGAACAAATACTGAAGCAGCGATGTAGATTGAAAAAACTAAACATGT